TACTTGCCTGGGTTATCACAATAGCATTCTAACTGACCTCCTGATCCATTCCTCTTCTCATAACCCTTTCGGCTCCTATTTCTTTTGGAGTAAAAGTTTAAGTTCTGACTATGGCCTAGGAGGCCCTCCCGTTTTATCTCCTCTCTTACTATGCCCTGGCTCTCTCATTCTATTTAAACCACTCGGATCTTCTTGCTATTTCTCAAGCAGGTCAAGCACGCTCCTACCTCCAGGCTTTTTTTTTTTAGACAGAGCCTCAAGCTGTCCCCCTGGGTAGAGTGCTGTGGCATCACAGCTCACAGCAACCTCCAACTCCTGGGCTCAAGCAAGTCTCCTGCCTTCACCTCCCAAGTAGCTGGGACTACAGGCACCCGCCACAACACCCGGCTATTTTTTGGTTGAAGCTGTCATTGTTGTTTGGTGGGCCTGGGCTGGATTTGAACCCACCACCTTAGGTGTATGTGGCTGGCACCTTAGCCACTTGAGCCACAGGGTCTGAGCCACTACCTCCAGGCTTTTCAGAATCTGATTCCTTTTCCTTGAATGGCTTTTCCCCTGACTTTCCTTGGCTAACTCTTCATATTTTCCATACTTTTGCTTAAAGGTCTTATTCTCAGTGATCCAACCATCTTTAAAAATCGCAAGCCCCGATTCTTGGTTCCCCACAATCTGCTATAATTTTTCAGCCCTGTCTATTACCTTTGAACATATAATATCCTATTTATCATGGTTTGTCTCTCTTCCTGTGACCATATATATTCTTAAGATCTTATGGTTCCCGAATGTTTAGAACACTTGGTATACTGTACACACTCAATACATATATTATTATGTAACTCAGTAAGTTTACAATTTATGAGTCATATCTTACTGGAGGACAGAGAAAACATTGTGTGTCTTCTTCCCACAGATACTTGCCAGCAATCAGGGAGTTAGACAACAGATGTACCTTATTTTTTTTTAATCATAAGAGAATATGTAACAATAAGAAGGTTAGCCAGGAGTCTTTTGGTTCCTAGTAATGGAAATACTCTCAAGTTAGCTTTATTTTAAAAGGGGGGAGGATTTACCCGTTCACAAAACTGAACAGTGCAGAAGTAAAGCTAGCTCCCGGCATGCTGGATGGAGAGGCCTTACAGTTGTCTTCAGAACTTACTGATTTCTCCCATCATTTCTCAGCTCTGCTTTCCTCTAAAATGGTGTTGATCTCAGAGAGGTGTTCTTCCTGTGTTAGCCCTGGAAGCTTTAGCTCAGATTCTCACAGTTGACTGACAGCCCAGAATTCACCCTGGCCTGGTGTGGGTTACATGCTGGGCAAGGGAATGTTCTCATTGCTCTGACCTGGGCCACGGGCCATTTGTTCAGCCCCTAAACAACTTGTGCTGAGAGTGGGAGAATGAAAAGATAAAATTAATTATAGAATTGAACCAAATCTATTTGTGCCGACAGACTGATATTAGAAGTATAGCACTCTGACCCCTAGTGGTTAGATTACCTGGAGAAAACGTCAGCATTAGTCCAAAGACAACAGGAGGTGAATTAATTTCACATCATGTTTTTATATGATTTTTTTAAACTTAAAATTCTTCAGACTGATATATGATCTTTGATCAGTTTATTTAAGAACATCAGAATTCTTTGTGCTTATTCTCTACATTGACACATTCGCTCATTTTGGGCAAATTTTCCCTTCAACTAGATCTTGTATTTGTTCTTTTTCCCCTGTATCTCCACTGTCACCATCTTTCTTCTTATGTTCATCTAACACTTGAAAAATCTTTCTGGCTTGGTGCCTGTGGCTCAAGTGGCTAAGGCGCCAGCCACATACACTTAAGGTGGCAGGTTCGAATCCAGCCGGGGCCCACCAAACAACAATGGCGGCTGCAACCAAAAAATAGCCGGGCATTGTGGCCGGCGCCTGTGGTCCCAGCTACTTGGGAGGCTGAGGCAGGAGACTCGCTTGAGCCCAGGAGTTGGAGGTTGCTGTGAGCTGTGATGTCATGGCACTGTACCCAGGGGGACAGCTTGAGGCTCTGTCTCAAAAAAAAAAAAAAAAAAAGAAAGAAAAATCTTTCTAAAAACTGTGTTAGTTGTACGGTATCCAGTTGGGGAACTTTATTCTGATACCTAATTTATTAACACAATCAAAATCTTTGCATCTAGGATTGAATTGCATGTGTTTCTGACTCTTTTTTTTTTTTTTTTTAAGACAGAGTCTCACTTTGTCACCCTCGGTGGAGTGCTGTGGTGTCACAGCTCACAGCAACCTCCAGCTCTTGGGCTAGGGTGATTCTCTTGCCTCAGCCTCCCAAGTTTCTTGGTATACAGGCACTGTTTCTGACTCTTGTTGCTTAAGAAATTGGAATTGGATTTTGGTTGAAAGCCATGGAAAGCTAATATAAATAACAATCTATTTGTCTGATGTATTGTGACCTGTTGAACTTTAAAAATTAAGAAAACTTATTATTGATACTTTTCCTATTTCATATAACAGATGGGTTCCTTTAAATTTCATTCTACTAAATTTAAAATTTATCTAATCCTCTACATAGGAAATTTTATGTATATTATAGCTCACTGCAGCCTCAAACTCCTGGGCTGAAATGATCCTTCTGCTTCAGCTTCCTGAATAGTTGAGACCATAGGAGCATGCCACCATGCCTGGCCAATTTCTTGGATAATTTAAGAATTTATTTTGTAGAGGTGGAGTCTTGCTATGTTGCCTAGCTGATGTTGAACTCCTGGGCCCAAGTGATCCTCCTACTTTGGCCTCCTTAGTAACTGGGACTATAGGCACAAGCCACCATGCCTGCTTTATTATTATTTTTAGCCATAACTGTAACCCTAACTCTAACCAACCTGCTCTATTTTGGAGTAAATAATATATTAACATAGTACAATCATAAAAGGTAAAAAATGATATACAGGGAAAAGTAAATCTCCCTTGAGCTACTCCATTCCCAGAGACAACCGTCATTACCCTATTACCCAGACTCAGTTCCCAGAGACAACCACATTATCTGTTACTTACATATCCCACCAGAGGTATTACATACATATTACTCCAGTAGCCATATACAATACTATATACACTATCCTGCAACTTGTTTTTTCTACTTGAGAATATTGCTTGGAGAAAATATTAAAAGCAAACATCTCTTTCAATAGCTGTACAGACACTACAAATATATTTAACAATTCCTTATTGAGGAGCCAGAGAGAGTTCCCAGTATTTTGCCATTACAAGCAGTGCTTCAAAAATACTCTGGAATATAAGTCATTATGTATATTTCTGTAAGATAAATTCCTAAAAAGAGCTAAGGTCACTGGTTTTTCAAACATTTTAGACCAAAAGGACCTAAAGAAATAGTTCACTGAGGAAGTACCTGTGATGGTTGTTTTAGACAAAAATTTGGAAGCATCCTTGTATCTTCTTTGTAAACAGCTATCAATCGCTAAGTCATGCTGATGTACCTCTCAATCTCTCTTCAAATCTGTCCTCCCATCCCATTCCTCACAACCATCAATTTAAGCTTTCACTATTCTTTCATGGCTGAAGTATTGTCCTCAATCCACTCTCCTGAGAGAATAATCTACTCAGACTCTTTTAGAGGTTCAGGATTAGGCCTAATGTCCTTGTTTTAGCATACGAGCTTCACCTTAGCCTGGTCCTGCATGTCTCTCCTCCGGCAGCCCTCTACCATTATCAGGTTCATTCTTTGTCTTTATACTGTAAAAGACTTCATCATTTCATGTGTGGATGTTTTCATTTGCTCTCCCTGTCTCCCTAGCCTGGAATGCTTTCATTTATTCCCCTTACTGTGTGTTCATCTTCCATACTAATCATTGTCCTCTATTGAAATGATTTCCTTGAAGCAGCTTGAATTTTCAAGAGGTAGTAGTCTTTTTCTTTCTTTTCAGCTTCAGCATCTAGCATAGTGCTTGTGCTGATGAGATGCACGATCAGTAAAATTTCCTCAATGGAGTTTAACTAGATCTTGGGGAAAAGGGATGGAGTCATTCATTTATTCAATGTATGTTTATTGAGAGGCTATTTGGTGCAAGGATATGTTCTGGCAGTGTGATTAGGTATATAACCAAGAAGATAACTAGGGCCTACTTTCCATTTAGTGAAAGAGAGGGGACAACATAAACACACACTTCTAATTCAGGGTTGGAACTGCAGTGTGCCTCAGGCCACAGTTTAGAATATTTTAAGGATAAGGATAAACAGAGCAAGGGGTGGCATTTTGATTAGAGTAAACTGCTCTATGAGAGGCATTTGCCAAATAAGGTAATTGCTTCAAATCATGGTGAAACCCAAAGTCAGACATAAAACTTATGATTTCTGCCTCCTGTTCACGGCCTGTTGCCTTCACTTTTTAAAGTGAAGATGTTCTGGGAAACAGATGGTCCAATGTGGTTCTTGGGTAATGAATAATAAAGTGAGATAACATATGTAAAGCTATGCATTCCAGAACAAAACCCAGAACCTTCTTGATGCTGACAGATCTTTATTACCGGAAAGTTTAATCTCCCAACTGTTTTTATTGTATCCTTTTCTACCCTCTCTCATACATATTAACAAAATCTCTTTTCACGAAAGGTTGAGGAAGCTAGTCAAATGTAGGAAAAAGAGCAAGTTGTTTGGGAGTCACAGTCAGATTTTAGCTCAGGCGGCAGTCACTATTAGTAATTTATGGCAAGTACTTAAGTTCCCAATTTTCTCTTTTGTAAACTGGGAATAATAATAGTAAATAAACTGTGAGATGTTTATGGTAAAGTGCCTGAAACATAGTAAGAACTCAGTTGAAGTTATCTCCCATGCAATTCTAAGAACCCCAAGGCCGGGGGGTGTTATTTTCACCCTCGCAATCAAAGGAACTTGAAGTCTATTCACTACTAAATTAGGTTAAATCAGAACTTGGCGCTTTCAGCAGTGATGCAATTTGATCTCTCCCGGCCACCGTCGCTGAGCATGCGTAAATAAACGTGGCGGGACGTATGTGTCATGGCGCGCTCCATCGAAAGTCTCTGCAGTTTCCGCAAAGTGGCGTGTTGATTCTCTGCCTTTGGACTGTTATTTATTTTCGGACTGCTGGGTAAGGGTGGCGGATGGATCAGTGTGGGTCGGAGTGTGGCGAGAGCTCCTTTTATGGCGAAGCATTGTTTAAACAGTTTCAGCTTTCTTGGGCTTTTTGCTTATTTGTTTCGCAGTTTAAAGGGGACTTGCCAGATGGGATAGGGAGACCGGGAGGCAGATTGGGCTGCCAGATTGAGGACAGCGTTATCGGCCTAAGGTGCTGCCTGATTGTTAGGAGTATTTAAGATATCGCATTCCTTATTGTGAGCTTTAACTTCATTTTTTCTATCACTTTCTGTGTTAATGAATTGGTGGCCATGACAGAGTTTTCTCAGTTTTTTAGCTTTCACAGAGCAGTGTCTTAACAAGAATTAAAACTGAAGTTGGCCAGAGCAGCAGGTGTCTTCATTTTTCACTTTTCTTTCTTCTTTTCTCATAAAAGTTTTCTTTAAATGTTGGAAGGATGTCTTTCTCTTGGAAGGTGATGTGGATACCTACCTTGCTGGCTTATTCCTGTTTCGTAGTTGTTGGTCACTCGTACTATGCAGACAGTCTTAGCAAATGGTCAACACACCTGTCTCAGTAAGAAGTTAGAAGTATTGTTGAACGTCATTTACCTTGTTAATAAAGCAGTCTTTTATGGAGTCTATTCCTTTAGGTAGTCATAAGGAGGTTTTACAGTGATTTGGTGAATTTGTTGGATACTTGATATTTTCCTAATCAGTTTTTGTTTTCCGGACTTATAATTTCAAGACGACTTTAGACTAATTGAAGGTAATCAAAATACTGTTTTATTTTGAACCTTTTATATTTGAGTGGCATTTTACACATGAGGTTATGCACAAAGGTAGCCTAATTTCTTAGCCATTTGTCAACATCATTTCATGGAAACATTGTTATTTCCTCCACTACTTCCAAAAGAGACATTTTTGTTTATTTTACTTAACCTTTCATTTTCATTCAGCACTCCTGACCATGTCCACCTACTTGACATTCCTTTTTCCTTTGCTTTTATTGGCCCACTGATATTGTTTTTCCCTCTGGTGGTGGCTGCTTGGTTTCCATTATAGGCTGGTTCTCCTTTACTTGGTACTTAAATTTGGAGTTGCTTGGTCCTGTACTCCTTCCTAACTCTGTTCCCTTTTTCCTTTCTTCTGGGTGATTTAATCCACATGCTTATTAACAGTTATTTGTCTTTCTTATTCTAGCCATTCCAGTGGGATGAAGTGGTATATTATTGTGCTTTTGTTTTTCCTTTCTCCAGGGCTAATGATATTGACATCTCTTTGTGAGATTATCAGCTATCTGTCTATCTTTTTTGCACACATGTCTATTCAAATCTTTTGCTTATATTTTAAAATGAGTTGTCTTTTTATTGTTGAATTGTAGAGGCTCTTTATATATTCAGATACCAGAGCCTTATCTGATATAGATTTGCCAATATTTTCTCCCTTTATGTGGGTTGTCTTTTCATTTTCTTTTATATTTTTTTTTTATTTTGCCGTTTTTGGCCAGGGCTGGGTTTGAACCCACCACCTCAGGTAAATGGGGCCAGCGCCCTACTCCTTTGAGCCACAGGTGCCGCCCCTTTTCACTTTCTTGATGGTGCCCTTTGAAGCATAAAATGTTTAATTCTGATGAAGTCTAATCTATTTTTTCTTTTGTTGCTTGCCGTTTGGTGTCTTAACTAAGAAACCAGTGCCTGCTCTAATGTCATGAAGATTTACACCAATTTTTTTTCTAAGAGCGTCATAGTGTTAGCTCTTAAATTTAGGTCTATGATCCATTTGAATTAGTTTTTGTATATTATGTGAGATGAAGGCTTGAGTTTCACTCTTTGCATGTGGCTATCCAGTTGTCCCAGCACTATTTGTTGAAAAAGACTATTCTTTCCCCAACACCCTTGTTAAAAATCAGCTGACCAGGTAATATATTTTTTGACATGGATTCTAGAAGATTTTTATGAAAGAATGACTTTAGGATAGTGATTATCAAACTTTAATACATATTAAAATCACCCGTAGGGTTTGTTGAGCTTTACTCAAAATATCTGATTCAGGGCAATGCCTGTAGCTCAGTGGGTAGGGTGCTGGCCACATACACCAAGGCTGGTTGGTTTGAACCTGGCCTGGGCCAGCTAAAACAACAATGACAACTGTACCACCACCAACAAAAATAGCTGGGCATTGTGTCAGGCTCCTGTAGTCCCAGCTACTTCAGAGACTGAGGCAAGAGAATTGCTTAAACCCAAGAGTTTGAGGTTGCTGTGAACTGTGATGCCATGGCACTCTACCCAGGGCAACAGCTTGAGACTGTGTCTCAAGAAAAAAAAAAAAATCTATTCAGTACATCTGGAGTGGTTCTCAGGATTTTCGTTTTTAACAAATTCCCTGTGACGTGGGAATGACACTGTGAAAACTACTAAACTAGGACAGTGGTTTGCAACTGTGACTCTGCACTTGAGAATTGCTGGGAAGGTTTTGAAAAATATTGATGTGCAGGTTCTATTCTTAGAGATTGGGTCAGCTGGCCTGGGGCTCAGGTATTAGAAATTTTCAAGAGTGCCTCGGGTTAATAGAATGGATGCTAAAGATTGAAAACCACTGCTGTAGAAGAAGTGGTCATTTTTTGTTTTTGTGTTTTTTCTTTTTTGAGATAGAGTCTTACTCTGTCACTAGGGCTGAAGTACAGTGATGTCATCATAGCTCATTACAACCTCCAACTCCTGGGCTCAAGTGATCTCCTGCCCCAGCCTCCTGAGTAGCTAGGACTACAGATGTGCACCACCATACCCAGCTAAGATTTTAAATTTTTTGTAGGGACAGAGTATTGCCATGTTTCCCAGACTGGTCTTGAACTCCTGGCCTCAAGGAATCCTTCTGCCTTGGCTTCCCAAAAGTGCTGGGATTACAGGCATGAGCCACCATGCCCAGCCAGAATAGTGGTTCTCTTTCAGGGATGTTTAGTGGAATTATCTGGGCCCTTTCTAATTCTGAATGGAAGCTGGGGATTTGATATCATAAAAGCTCCCCTATATAAGTAACCACCTCTTTAGGATATTGCATCCTCTCTTCTATCATTTTCAGTATTTCCTTTTTTAACTGTTTTTATTCCCTTTATCAAACTTGATTTCCTCTACCTTTGAGAAAAATTTTTATATGATCATGTTGCCCCATTTAAGTATCTTGCATTTTATTCTCAAATTTTCATTTCAAATGTTGAAAACTTATTTCAACATTTCTGAAGTCTAAATAATTCCCTCTCTCAATATGTTTGAAGTAAAAACTTTACCTTATTCATAGTGATGAGTGAGATTGTTTAGGTGCCTGTGATATACAGCTAGGTTTAACAACCTCTGCCTTATGTTTATCTCTTTTGTCTCCCTAGTGTGAGTTTCTAGAAATGGAATTGCTGGGTCAGAGGGTATACATACTTTATAAAGTTTGATATGTATTGCTAGATTGCCCTCCAGAAGGAGCATACCAGTTTTACTGTGCTCTCAGCTGACAGTAAGGTTTTGGTCAGTCTTTTATCAGTGAGATAGTTGAAAATAGCTCATTTAAATGTTTGTTATTAGTGTGGTTGATCATTCTTTCCTATTTTTATTGGCTGTTTAGTATTTCTTAAATGAATTGCCTGTTTTTCCTCTGCCCATTGTTTTCTGGGATGTGTTTACTTTTTTGTGTCACATTAGACTCTTGCATTGTTTGTGGTTTGTCAGTGAGGCAGGGCCGTAGTAGGAAGAGCACAGCATTTTGCTTCTCTGGACTCCAGTTCTGTAAAATAAGGACCTTGGCACTTTCTCTACTTTCCTAGTCTGTAATGCTATGGTATGTTTACTGCAGGGGACTCCTTTCACCCTCTTCTTCATTTTCTCTTAAGTGGATCCATACACAGTTGTGTATGGGATGTAAAAATTATGTAATTAAAAAATGGCTTTGGGTGATGCCTGTGGCTCAGTGAGTAGGGCATTGGCCTCATATACCGAGGGTGGTGGGTTAAAACCTGGCCCCGGCCAAACTGCAACAAAAAAATAGCTGGGCGTTGTGGCGGGTGCCTGTAGTCCCAGCAACTTGAGAGGTTGAGGCAAGAGAATCGCCTAACCCCAGGAGTTGGAGGTTGCTGTGAGGTGTGACGTCACGGCACTCTACCAAAGGCAATAAAATGAGACTCTGTCTCTCTAAAAAAAAAAAAAAAAGAAATGGCTTCAATGTCATTTAGTGATTCATAATCCTTCAGTAGTTCTTTAGTAACATTCAAAGACACTACCTGGTCTTAGCCTTTCTCACTTAATTACTTTATAGAATAATAATGGTAGAAGAAATCCTAGGGGTTAGGGATTTACTTCAACTCTCCACCTAATATAAGAATTTCCTCCTGTGTATGGAGGAAATTAAACCTTGTATCCATAGTGTCAGTACATACTGTGTCTGCTGTGTGCTAGGCATTGTCAGAGGTATTGTAGAGATAGTGCTGAAAAGAGATGGTATCTTTGTGCTTATGGAACTCAAACATTGTAATGAGAAAGACATTGCAATAATATATATGGTGGCGGGTAAGTGTTATGAATAAAAATGAAACCTGCTTGGCCAAGGTGCTCATTTTAGATAGGATGATTCGGAAAGGCCTTTCTGAGGAGGTGTTATTTGAGTATAGATGTGGGCAGTAAGACATATAAATATCTGGGGCCAGAAGTTCTGGCAAAGTTATAGCAAATGTAAAGGCCCCTGAGTCAGAAACTAATTTGGCATACTGAGTATCTGTATCCCTATCTTGTTAGAAACTATTTTCAGAAACAGGGTGTCGATTTTTTGCTTGGGCAGGAGTGCACTGGTATGATCATAGCACACTGTAGCTTCAAACTCCTGGGCTCAAGCATTCTCCTGCCTTGGCTTCCTGAGTAGCTGGGACTACAGGCACATGCCATCATGGCAGCTACAGCAAACATATTTATTGAGAACCTGTGATGTGCCAGCTAGATGTAGTTCTAGGCAGCTGGGCTGAATCAGTGAACAAAGC